ACATAGGAAGTTTATTTCTCTTTAACAATAACTATTTAGCCACACTATATAAAACCTTCTCATTTAATAGCACAGCTACTTGAGATAAAAAATTCCAGACATCTGAAATTGGAGAAGTAACAGGAATATCCATCAGTCCTGTCAAGTGGACTCTTTCACTATATTTAGGTTAATATATTTGACTTCCTTCGATTAATCACCAACCAGAGACAAAATCAAATTCTTTTATCAAACACAGAATAGAAGAAATTTCCATTCACGTGTTATGAGAACAATATCATTAGCAAATTAGTAAATATAATTTCTACCACCATTTTGGTATAACTGGGGCGGGGGAACCTTACCTCTTTATGCCATTTGTATGCCAAAATTTGACAGAAGGGCAAACAGTAAAGAAGGCATCAACAGCTATTCCTACAGTCCTTCAAATGATTTAGATGGGGTAAAATCTGTTTCATTAGTCCTAATCACAATGTTGTGGCTAATATAAGGAGAATATGGATATATGGATTTGGGTGATACCTTTACAGATATCCTTCAATCTGTAAAGGTATCACCCAAATCCATATATCCATATACTCCTTAAGAAAGGGCTATTTAAGAAGGAAGCATTATTCTAATTCGTCAAATGCCTTTGACTCAGAAACTGACAGATCTTTGAAATAACTTGAATTAATCTATTTTAATCTTCAACAACTATACCTAGTATTTTAAGATGAATTTAAAAATAGTAAGCCAGTACTAATACAGTGGTGCCCCGCTTGATGATTACCCCACTCCACGACAAAATCGCTTTACGATGAGGTTTCAACTATGATTGAATGGGGAAAATCCATTTTATGACTATTGGTTCCCTCCTTCGGGAACCGATTCTTCGCATTATGACGATCAAAAACAGTCGATCGTCGGGTTTCAAAATGGCCGCCTGCTGTTTTCCAGACCTATTTCCGGAAGACAGCAACTAAAAATGGCTTTCCCTATGGAGGATCTTCGCTGGACGATGAGGTATTTTGCCCATTGGAACGCATTGAACTGGTTTTCAATGCATTTCAATGGGTTTTTTCTTTCCCTTGACAATGATATCACTTAACAGCGATTTTAACAGCACGGATTATCATCGTCAAGCAGGGCACCACTGTATTGGCAAGATTATTGTTATGATCCAACTTTTGATTCATGGACAAAAGTGTCGTCCTTATACTTAAAGCACTTCAGCCCTAGCCCTTGAACAATTGCTCTCACCAAGAAATGGCACCCCTTGTTAAACCTTTTGTAAGTTTCATTTTAGGGCTGCAGCTTTAACAGAGCTCTGTGTTTTGTATGCACTGGGCTTTGGTCCGCATTAGAGATGGTGGTATTCATATTTGAATACAAATATCCCCACACGGCTCAACTTAACGAGGGTCCAGCCCATGAGGCTGGACATTCACTCATGCGTTGGGTGGCACCGGCGGCCCCGTTCATCCTTCCAATTGCTCCCGGAGCACTGTTCTTTTCCCACTCAGCTGGCCACTCGGCAGCCATGTAGGGATACTCGTCCTCCCTCACACTGCTAACCAAGCAGGAAGAGAGTGGGGCTCAGGGAGCGACTGGAAGGATGAGTGGGGCCACCAGTGCTGCCAAATGTGTGAGTGGACGGTCCAGCCCCAGGGACCGACCCCTCGTTAAGTCCAGCTATGCAGGGATATTCAAATACCCCCCATCTCTAGTCTGCATCAGTCAAGGGGAACTATATTGAGCAGCACGGGAAAGAAGATGGATTTTTACCATATCTCATAATCCAAAGGCTACCATCATTATGACGCTTTGGTTTCTCAAGCACTATGTTGTTGGATAACAGCTCCCAGAATCCCTAACTACTAGCCATGCTGGTTGACGTTGATGGTCCACAATGCATGTATGCCCATATCAGGAAGCTATAAAATGTTTGACACTCAAACTCATATAATATAAACTAGAAAAGGTACCGTAATTGTCAGCTCTAGGGCTCGATGCAGATCACCATGGTTCCCCATCTATTTACAAGTTATTTCTGCTACTATTTATGATCAGCACTAAGAGAGTAAATTTTAGATCCCTTCATGTAACCAAACTGTGCTCTGAGCTGAGGAAAACTTGTTTGGGAGCTTACTCCTGGAGTATGATGAACAGGATGTTTTTTGGGGAGGGAGAGGGGGGCTTGGTGGGAAAATGCAAAAAGTTGGTAAGAATTATGCTTGGCTTCAGCTCTGTCTACATTCACAAGGCTTATCCTTTTTTAAAAAGCTCATTTGCCAAATGATGATTTGGCCCTTGAACTCAATTGCCAGGACTGCTATCAAAGTCAAATCCCAAATGCCCAACCAGCAATCCAAAAGCAATTTTCTGACAATGCTATCAGCAGTGTGATCCCTGTAGCAAGTTTCTGGCTCTGCCTTGCATCACTGCTGGAACACCATCCCCAAACCTTTGGCATATTGCTATTTGGTCCATGGGAAGAAAATGGTTTCACATGACTGATGTAGACCAATGCCCAGGGCAAAAAGAAGATGAAGCTCTGATAAGTATCCTGAACTAAAATGATACTCACAAATGCTTTAGCAAGCAGTGCAATTCCTTGTACTCTTTGAAAATGAAGAACTGCATCTTTGTCTGCATGTGGGGAAAGTGGGTATTTCTAAATTCATACTATAATATAAATATACTACAATTTGTATGTCCTGAAATCAGTAGCCATTCTTCAATTCTTATGTTAGGTGTACATTCTTCAACATTTAGACAATTCACAAATCATGTGTCACAGCTATCACTCACAGCACCAATACAAGAAGTACTTTTACAACCACTTCTAAGTAAACATACATAGTAGCAGAGTCCACAGAGTTCACCTGGACTTAAGGCACACATACAGTTGCAGTCATCATCTGCAACTCTTTGATAATTTAGCCAATAATTTGACTTGGACTCTATTTTGGGACTCTGGCAATGCAACACCTACTAAGGGGGAAAAGGAACTTTTCTACTTTCTCCCCCACCCTTTCAATTCTGCCAATAGCAAGCCTTCTTTTGAGACCCTACCATATAGTAACAGAAATGGGAATTTAATTTTTTTATTGCTTTTCAGTCTATAAAGGCCATCAAAGCAACGTGCAACTACAAAAAGATTTTTAATTTTTAAAATATCAATTAAAACCCAATTTTTTAAAAGTTCATGCATTAACATTAAAATCAGTTCAGGAACACTATCCAAATACAACTTTCCTACCGATATTAAACATGAAGGGCCATATGAAACTATATAGACTTGCTTATTTTTTTAAAAGGGGATGGAGTCAGTCTGCCTTTCCTTAGAAGGGAGTTCCACAACTGAGATGCTGTTACAAAGAAACATTCATGACCCACCAAAATTTCTCCCATTCTATAATTATTCTGTTTTGAACCTATTTAGTCACATTGTCTTTTTAAAACAACTAACAACACTTATTTTCATTTGGTACAAGATTTTATTTGGTACAAGATTTGTTACAAACATCTAACATCTATGCAGAAAATGCGATGTTCTGTACCACCATTCAAAAACTTTGTGTTACTACTACCCAGAAGACTAAGATACCTATATAAAACCCTGTAAACTCTAGACAAATTTGCATATACAATTCTGCACATTAAAGTACAGAATGACGTTACTCAGTACTCAGTAATACAAAGCCTACTTCTCTTATCACACAAAACATTGCGCAGTCCTCCTAAATGTGTACGTATCAGTTCCTCTTTGGCCCACCATGTTGTCCTGAGAAACAGCTTCCTCTCTTCCATCTACATACACAACTATAAACAAGAGGGAACTTCCGAATGTCAATAACCTCAAACAGAAACTATTCTATCCAATGGCTCTATAATTATTACCCTAACCCAGACCTGGGCAAAGTGCGGCCCAAGGGCCACATACGGCCCGCAAGCCGCTCCTGTCCAGCCCGTGGACAGTTTTGAACATCAAAACCATTTATAGCTTTTTGTCTAAAGTTGATCAGTTGCTTATGTTTCACATACTGCAAAAAAAACCTCTTTAGTATTTGTGAAGATTAACAAGTTTACAATAAAAGCAATCATAACATCACTGTTTCATTTCATTTTTTAAGTAAAGCTGGTTCGCCCCCCCGAACACAGTTCAGATTTTTCATGTGCCCCCCTATAGAAATTAATTGCCCACCCCTACCCTAACCCCTTCCTTCGAAGATCAGAAGTAGGTAAACAAAATAGAAGAACTAGCGACTGTCGCAAAGAACAGGACGATTTTTGGACAGAATGGTGGCTACTGATGACCCCAGTTGCGAAAAAGGCGATGTCAAAAATAATATAAGTTAATGTTTTAATTTAAACAACCAAACTCTCTCGAAGACCACAGGCCACCCCTGCTGGTGTGGCAATAAACAGGATGTCACACAACCCCCCACTTATGGTCGGAAGGGCTTCTATCTCAAAGGCAAATAAGAACTTGCACACCCGCAACCCAAAGGCGCACGCACACAAAGGAAGGAAGCGGGTTCTCTCTCCCCCCCCTTTTTACCCCCTTTTCCCTTGTTTGCTGCTAACAGCTAATCGCGGCCCCATCTGGCCTTCCCCTCCCCGGTACCAGACTCTCGCCTCCCCTGCCTCTTGACTGCAAGAAATGTACTTCTGTGCAGGGCGAGGGGAGGGCGGGGGGAGAGAAGAGGTAGAAAAAGCAGCTCCTTCCTCTTATTCTGAAAAAAGGGGAGTCCGCAGGGTGGTCGACGCTTCTGGGGTGGGGGGTGTGCTTCAGAGGCTCCCCCAACCACCGCCCGTTTCCCAAAGAAAAGCAAGAGCGGAGGAAGGATTCCCTTCCTCTTTCTCAGGAGGAGGAGAAGCCCGGTCATTCATGGGGGTTTCCCTTCCCCGCCCGCGCCCCCCCCACACGTACCCGCTGGAAAAGCCGGGCAGGGGCCACGTCTCCCCTTCCACCGAGCTATACACACACACACACACACACACACCGCGCTTACCGCTTCCATGGACGCCTCCTGAGGGCGAAACGGGTTCGATTCCCCCCCTCCTCCTCCTCCTCAGCGCGCTCACTCCCTGCCCCGCATACTCTCCACAGCTTCTGTCGACGGAGGGCGGCAAGGCAGACAAGGAGCCGCGGAGTTTCGCTCCCCTTGGGCTCGAACTGAAGTGAGCTCAGGGCTTGGCCCGCTCTCACCGCCCACGCCGGCTCTCGGTCCGCCGCCGCCGCCGCCCCCCCGCCGGCGCCCGGGCGAAAAAAACTCCGCCGCCGCCACCTCAGCCCCTGAAACGCCGTCTGAGGGGAGAGAGGAAAAGGTTCCTTCTGCAGACCTAGTGCGCAAGCGCTGGAATTGCCGGGCGCAGGCGCACTGAGCCCAAAGAGGCTCCCTCGTATGCCACGGTTCCTTCGTTCCAGGCGGGGGGGGCGTGTTGTTACGCGCTGTCGAATCGCCTCCGACTTACGGCGAACCTATGAATGAGCGATCTCGCTCAGTACAAAAGAACTAAGCACTTTCGGGTTCCTCGGTTTAAAAGCGATAAATCACTGAGCCAACAGCACAAGGGGAAAAGGGAAAAAAAAACACAATGGGTTGCCGCGACTGGATCGGACACTTTTCATGCGGCGTGAAACTCATACAGCACTGGGCTTTCAGGCAGCATCGCAGAGCCAAACACTTAGCAAATCCAAACCAGATGCCAGAAAATTCTCCTCCTCCTCCTCCTCCTCTTCCCAGAATAGCCACGCTCGTCGGCGGACTGCAGCAACTGTACACCAAGAAAAGTACTTTTTCCAAAACGCTGATCTAAATCTGTTTAAATTCAGCGAAGTGGCTGTAGTGCCCTGCGACCATAGAAACAAAGGATGTTCCTGTAGTAACTAACATTGTCCCTCACCATTGTCTGTGCTGGTTTGCACTGATTGTGAGTTCCAGTCCGATAATAACTGGAGGGTAACAGGTTGCCCACCTCTGTTGCACAGGATGTCTAAGGTCTTAGAACTGGAGAGCTGGAAGGGACCCTCTGGATGATTGAACCCAGGCCTTTTCATGGGGGCACAGTGAGGAATCCAGCTCCTAAACTCAGGCTTCACAACCCAATACCCAAACCACTGAGCTATCCAGCAGTTCAAAACACAAGTTGCCCAAAGACTCAGCTATCTGGGCATTGATCCTAAATTGATCTGTTCATCTGTGTACCTGCAGCCCACATACATTGTTCTGTTAATGTTTTAATGTAGTTATATATTATTTATATATGCTCTTTTTGGTCAAGTGGCTCGCAAGGGATAATGAACTTTCCTTTAAGACAAAAGAGGAGCAAGATAAAGGTAGCTAAGATCACGATAAAACATTATTGGCACAGGGTTAGAAAGAAGAGAATTAAGATGTTGTTGCCAGTATTTTCCTGTAGATAGCTGCCATTCTGCAGAACGAAAATGTTTACGATTTTAAAAATACTGTACATGATCGTCATCATCATTATGTATGTATGTATGTATGTATGTATGTATGTATGTATGTATGTATGTATGTATGTATGTATGTATGTATGTATGTATTGCTGCTAGGCGGCTCAAGAATTTGTTTCTGCTTTCCTCTGGCCCATCAGACATGCCAGTCCGACCGTGTTTTCGGTTCGGATCGGATGTTGTCCTCTCTGAAGGCTTTGGTGAGGTAGACAGGAGACAACCAAGGGACTAGGCGTGGGGAGGGGAGAAAGATCAAGCGTGAGACCTTGCAATAAGGAGGGGCATGGCTGGGTTGGGGGACCTCCTTTGCAGGACGGGGGTAGGAAGAGCAGGAAAACAGCACTTCGTGCCGGGAAAAGGAAGAGGGGCACTGTTGAGCGCGATTCTGTAGGACAGCCGCTTTCTTCCCCTACCTGACACCCAGAAGCGGCAGAACTTCAACAGCTGGAAAAAGGGGCTCTGGCTCTTGTGTGGAGGGGGGGGAGACCACACTCTGTATAGGCTGTTGCAAGGAGTGAGTGGATGGGGTGGGTGAGGCAGGTAAAGCTCCCTCAATTCTTCCGCTGCCGTGATCTTCTTCGGAGATGCTTGAGGGATGGCCTCGCCGCTTCCTAAGGAGGGCAAGAGAAGGGAGGTCGGTTCGCTTTGTGACAGTCGTACAAACATTTCCCTCCTCCGCCTTGAGTTCGTCGGCTTTGGGGTCATCATCCAGAGTCCGAGAGCGTCGTCTTCTTTCGACCAACATTTAGTCAGTTTTCACGGTAGCGCAGGAGCAGTTGGGTACTTTGCTTTGCTTCTGGCCCAGCCCCTTGAAAACTGGGGAGCTACGTTGGGGGTGGCAGACGAAGCAAAACGAACGACGGCCTTGGTGGCATTTTGAAGACGGCCAAGTTTATAATCTCAGGGGCTTTCGTGGACAGCAGCGCACGTTTGGAGGACATTTGGAGGGAGACGCATCCTGCAGTGTATGGTACCCTTTTTGGAGGGGCTCGATTTTGGACATTCTAAACTACTGAGCGCCACTTTCCAATGAACGTCTCGTCAAATTGCCCGACACTTAATCGTCGGTGTGACTCAGCTGCCCTTCTTTCTTTGTTCGTTTGTGTCCCCCACCCCCCGTTCCATCCCCCACAAGAAAACGCGGTGCGCAAAATAGCCTGATGCCCGATCCCAGCTAAAACCCTAAAACATGTGGGGCACTAGGACCCTCCAGACAAAGGAAAGGGGTGGAGTGATTAGTTTCAGCGTGACGTCACCAGAGGCATCACTGCCAGAAAAACGGGAAAGTGGGCGGTCGCAATTGCCCCGGGGAGGGTTTGCGAGCGTGGGACGAGCTTTACCGAAAGTGGAACTCTCTTGGCTGCGTTTGGCTCTTAGATCCTGGAATTCCCATCAAGTATCGATTTGGGTTTGAGATAAATAGATCGGGTTTCACGGATGCCACTCACTTGTCTCTCCCCCCCCGCCCCATGCCCCACTTTTTTTTTAAAAAAAATATATATTATTTTGCTCCTTTTTAACAGCGGGAGGGAAGATCAATCCGGTGGTTGCTAACCTTTCACCGGGATCCGAGCCCGCCAGTGTGTTCTCGCCAATGTGTGTTGCGGCGGTGGGAGGGGAGGGAGAGAGACAGAGAGAGACGAGAATTACTCATGGCTCTTCCTGGAAAGTATAGGTTATAGGAATAATGATGCAGAAATGAACACCAGCGGCGGAAGATGGCTTCTGTGATCAGCCCCCCATAATGTCCATCACCTAACTGCCTTTTCTTCCTTCCTTTGCAAAACGTCCATAACTTTTAAGGAGAAAGAAATCAGAAGGAGGACATCATCAAATTCACTCAAATGTTGATTTGGAACACATGCCTTAAAAATTGACCATGCCACCATAGTTCCCTCCCTTTAGGACTTTGGGGCCCTGGGTCTCTCTGATCGGTGGCGAATCTGGAAATGCAGATGGGCATCGTGACAGTTCCTACAGTCTGCCCCATAGGATGAACCCAGACATGTGGGCCAATGGATCGGTGCATATTGACAACTAAGAAGCAGGTCTTTTGCATGGATGGATTTTTTAAAAAAAGCTCTGAATTGCCCACTCAAGAGAAACCAGACTCAACTCCTTTGAATTACAGTACATCAGGAATGGTTTGCCGCAATATATTGCAAGGAAGATCCATTTCTCTCTGCAACTGCTGTGAGGACTGTAGCTAAGCTCAGAGGGAACAAGGATGGCTGAAATTATGGCATAGAGCTTGTTACTCGGAAAGTTGCAGGCCTTGACCCTGCCCTGGCTCCACTAAAGTGGTGTCCACTGAAGCTTTATTTAACTCTGCTGCCAAGTCCATTCTGAATTACTGGACAGTGAGCCTTTGCAAGATTTTCCAGGTAGAGAATACTCATAAGTAGTTTTCCATTCCCTTCTTCTGGGGGTTCCATTGCACTCTGTAGCTTGTCCAAGGCCACACAGGCTGGCTCTTCTGAGAGATACAATGGAGAATTGAACTCCCTATCCCTGGCTCCGCAGCCAGTTACATTAGTCACTGAGCTATCTAGCCATAATCTTAGAATTGTAGAACTGGAAGGGATCTTATAGATCATTGAATCCATTCCCTGAAAAGAAGGCCCAGTGGGGAATTGAACTCTCAGCCTTTGGCTCCGCAGCCGGATATCTCAATCACTGAGCTATCCAGCAGTTACTGGGAGGGGGATTTAATTTTTTTTTAATTTATTTATTTATTTATTTATTTATTGGACTTATATACCGCCCCATAGCGCTACAAGCACTCTCCGGGCGGTTTACAATTTTTAATTATACAGGCTACACATTGCCCCCCCAGCTTACCAAGAAGTACATGCCACTCAGCATCATGGGATGTACATGTGAGTAAAAAGGGCAAAAAATGCTGGATTCTTAACCTGAACAGTTACAATTTGACAATTCCTCCAGTTGTGTTAGAAGTCCTTCTGATCTCATAGTTCCGATGCATATTGGTTTTTCTTGGCTGCAGCCTTTCAGCTAGTTTTTTTTTCCTAATAATAAAGCCAGTCTTCCTTAAAGCTGGACTTAATTACTTGCTATTTAAAACTCAGTACTTCAGCCTAGCTTGAGCTGATGCCCAGCATTTTTGCTGGACTATTGTCCACCAACCAACATGCGGATTGGCTGCAGATTATTGGAGTTGTTCTGCACATCTGAAGGTCATATGGTTGGACAAGATTACAGTAGACAGCTGGAAAAAGCTGAAGTGAACCACAAAGATGTGAAAGGCTGCCAAAACAAAACTGGGGCTAGAAAGGTTGTTTACAATGAGAGGAAATCTCTTTAAGCTCTTGCTCAATGTAACCTTGTTGCAACCATTTGCAGCAATAGATAGCATTGCCATATGCTAAGCTACGTAGTCCAGTATTGAAATACTGCATGCAATTGTCTTATATGAATATGAAACTCAGGTTTGTCACTGGAAAGTTAATGCCATTATAATTTATGTTTTAAGGGGGTTGGAGGTTTGAAACTGGCTCAGTTGCACATGTCATTTGAAATTAGATTTGAATCAGACACATCTTGGTTATTTATAAAGTATAAATAATGGGGGTTAGCTGCAGAAGGACACTTTAGGCCTCTGGCTTCAGTGGGATTCAATAATCCCTTAGTACACAATTAGAATTTGTAACTGATTTGCAAATAAGATTCATCTGAGCCGATGTTCACTTTTACCCAGTAGGAAATTATGCCCATTGACTCTAGAAACGTGATGTGTAACTTGATGCTTGTTTGTTACTATCCTGGTGGAGAAAGAGGATTGTGACTTCTGGAGCAGATTCTGGTTTAAAATGGATTGGTTTTGTATTCCTCACATG